GACTTTCCCCCCTTGAGTGCAGAGGGATGCCCCTCGGGGCAGGGCTCCTCCCTGAATGGGAGATCCTCCGGTCCTGTGCCAAGGGGGGAAGCAGACTGGGCTCTCCAGGCTGGCCTTGCAGTCCATACTGGGAATTTGGCTTGCCCTTGCTCCCCGTCTTGCCTGGCCCTGCCCTCCCATCATGGCCTGAGGAGCTTCTCCACAGCACCCATGATGGACATCACAGCAATGCTAACACAAACACGCCCCTTTCTACTGCACCATCACTCCGGGGTCTGGCTCGGACCTCCTAATGCCCAGCTCCACCTTTACAGGGGTCTTGCAAGGGGCTGGCCTGGGGACAAGCCTGGGTTTGCACTGGCCCAAAACACACTAGAATCAGACATCTGCAGTGCAAAGGGACATTTCTGAGGCATCCCAGCTGTGGCACTGGGGAGAGGTGGCAGTTTCAGCAGCCACCCCAGCCACGGGAGCTAGTGCTTTGCAGGGCTGTGCCGGCCAGGGTCCTGTCAGACCTCAGAGGGCTCATGAGAGCCTAGTAGCACTGTGGTACCTTGCTCAAGTGGCAGCACAGGTGAAGATACCTGCCAAATGCCAGGCGGTGCAAGGCAGCGAGAGTGTGATGAGCTGCAGGGCAGCAGCTCCTCGGCTTGCCAAGTCCACTTGTAAATGATCTTCTTGTGTTCTTCCCAAACACCCCAAAAATAGACTTTCCTGGCAGCTCACCATGCTCCGAGACCTTTCCTGATACAGCCACATGCAGTCACATGGTGGCACAGAGCTGCTCCCAAGCTAACTTTATGGAAACTAACCTTATGTGCAAAGGCTAATTCCCCAGCCAGTTCCTGTCCTCTTGCCCACCACCCACTGAACCTTCTTTCTGGTGGTCTCCTTGCATGGACAATCTCACTGACACTCTCTCCACTCCTTCCTGCACCAGACCAGGAGCACTGGAATGTGGAATACCCAAACTGCGGGGGCAACATGCAGTCTCCCATTAACATTGATATGGGCCGGACCATCTTCAGCCCTGACCTGCGGCCAATACAGCTGTCTGGCTACAGCCTGCCTGCCAAGGAGAAGCTCAGGCTGAAGAACAATGGGCACACAGGTGGGCACAAAGGCACAGGCAGAGGCTGGAGCATGAGCAGAGGCTGCTCAGACTCTCCCAGCAGGACTGAGCTCTTCTGATGCCTTCCCCTGAGCTCTGGGAAGGAGATTCTCTTGGAGGCTGCAGTCATGTTGCCTTCAAGGCCAAAAAAGGAAGCATCAGACTGTTGAGACTTTACAGGTCTATGCATATTCCTGGATGAGGAGAGAAACCTGGAGATGTCCAGTGCCTTTGGGAACTGGCTCCAGGAATTTTGTTAAACTGCACATTTCCTTATAAAACATATCCCTGGTGTTTCTGGCACAGGTTTGCAGCCACTAGTTCTTCCTCTGTATTTCATTTTCAAAGGATTCATCAGCCTTAGCCTTTAAGTTACCTACATCTGTCTTTTAGGACACAACATTGATCAGCTTCTTTAAGTCTGCGCTTCAGGATGCTACCTCAAGATCTCAAGGAATTTTTATTGGTCTTTTTTTCCCCTTCTCCAATTTTAGAATGTTTTTTTGGAAAGTCTGGACACAACTTATTCCCATTATTTTAATATCTGTCTCTCTATGCCAGATATGAAGAAAAACCACTGTGGTGGATGTTGGGGTGCTGGTTGCTACCAGCTTTTTCTGGGAGGAAGCAGAGTGTTTTGTGCACACTGGTGTCTGCCAGATGCCAGGCTAAGAAAAGGTTGTGGAGAAAGGGACTTAGGAACTTGCTGACGGTGTGATAAGACACCTCCTTGCCCTGGTAGCGAGTGAGATGGAGCTGACCTGTGTATACAGCAAACTCAACAGGTCAGACTCGCTGTGCATGGTCAGATCAGCCGCATGGTGCATGCACAGCACTCTATATTGTGGCCTCTTGCCCTAACGTGCCAACAGAGTTAAACTAGTTGAGCTCAGTAGTTGCTATTTTAGACACCCTGGCATCTGGTGTTTAGGAAAGTAGTTGGAGCATTTTCACTGAGGAGGGGGGAAGTACTTTGTCACTTGCTTATAAGGTGCCTTTTTTTTTTTATTGTGGCAACGACTGCCCTGCTTTATGAAAAGCCATAAATAAATAAAATGTTGTAAGTCCAGTAAGGTATTTGTACAGTTACTCATTTTGCTAATATGAAGTGTATATGCCGTATAAGCTTTTGTGAGGGCCTGAAAATGACTCAGGTAGCTAGGAGAAGGAACACAATGATTTATCTATTAAAAAAAAAAAAAAAAGTAAAGGCAGATACATTCACAGGGAGGGAGCAGGCTCCCACTTCCTGTATTTGAGTTTTTTGTCTCTGAACCCAGTGACCGGGAACGTGGGACAGGGCAAATGACTCATCAGAAACCCTGGTAAATCCTGAATCTGTGCCCTAAGTCAGTGATGTGACTAAGGGACACTTCACCTACCAAGGAGAAAGAATTGATATTAAAAATGAGGAAAAGGTGTTTAGAAGGATAGAACAGCCTTTCTCAGTGTGCGGGGATGCTCCTGATATTTTTGGCACAAGTGTAGGTAACTCAGCTTTAGATTTGCCACACTGCTGCGTGAGTCCAAAATAGCTGGATAAACCACACTAAAGTAAACGCAAAACTAAGCATGAATTTATGGTATCCAAAGAGGCAAAAATTGTAGCTCTAAGTGCTTTCAAAATATTTAATGCTTCTGTGCCACCAGCTTCAGTGCTGTCAGACACTTGCAGGCTGCTTATTTGAAAGGTCCCAGCTTGCCAAGTGCTGCAGCTCTCTGTCCAACTGCCCTGCTCTCTAACATACTCACCACTCTGCCAATATCTTTCTCAATGAATTTTGACCATGGTCTCTTTATATTATTTTCACTTACTGAATAAATTGTTGGATAATATTTGCCTTGGAGCTGGCCCCAGGAGTCTTTGCAGAGAGGTTCTTCACTTTCCAGCACATTCATAGCAGCAATTTTTGAAGCTGATGGATTTACTGCAGTGTCCGACAACCTGAAGTCAAAAGCTGAACCCTGCCACATTGGCAGAGCTCTAAGTATTGACTTGGTCACAGCCTCATGAAAGATGGAAAGCAAGCTTTTATTGTTATGATCAATTTCCACACACCCAGGGTGAACAGTTCCCTTGAGACATCTCCTCTGCATATCTGTGGGATGGACTGGACTTCATGTTTTACTGACTGACCTCTTCCTTCTGCCTCCGCAGTTCAACTCGAGCTGCCTGAGTCGCTGGCCATCACTGGGGGCTATGCCCAGCAGTACCGAGCCGTGCAGCTGCACCTGCACTGGGGTTCCCTATCAGGACCTGGCTCAGAGCACACTGTCAATGGGCGACGCTTTGCTGCAGAGGTAAAGAGCCCTCATGCTGGTGGATGCATCCTTTCCCTCATGGTGCTGGGCAGGGAAGGCACTGGAGTGCTGTCATACTCCTTGCCCAAGGCCCTGGTTGTCAGTGGATGAAGGCTGTAACCCCTAGTCAGGATCCCAGGCAGCGCTGAGACAGTGGAGTTCAGTACAGGAGGCCATGCTTTGGTGCTGAGCCAGACTCATGCTGAAGCCTGGTCTTGGGCTGATGGAGCTGCAGCACTCCCCAGGCTGGGGAAGACGGCTTCCTGGGAGGCTGTGAGCTGCAGGGTCTGTTTACTCTGTACACACTGTCCTCTTGCTCTGCAGCTCCCATCTGGTTTTATCCCTCCTTCTCTAGCTGCTGTCCTCTGCACTGCAGTACAAACCCCAGTATCCAGGGCAGCATGCTGGTTTGCTGTCCCTGACTGGGGAAGTTCAGGCAGACTTTCATGCTGGCTGCTTTGCAGCAGCACGTTTTCTTGGTGCCCAGCATTTTCCCTTCCCAGAAGGGTTGCTTGACACGGGTGCATGTCTCTTCCAGTCATTGCATCACCAGGCTGGAGCCCTGTGGGGGTGAGCATCTCCCAGTGTTGCCCATCCTGCATTGGGATTGCATGTTTCCCTTCCAGATCCATGTGGTCCACTACAACACCAAGTATGATGGCGTTGAGGAGGCAATGATTTACCCAGACGGCCTGGCCGTACTGGGAGCCTTTCTGGAGGTGAGTCCCATAAGTCAGCGCTAGGCAAGGAGAGGTAGGAGAGGGGGAGAGTGGGACTGGGGTGGGCAGAGTTGGGCACAGTTCATGGGACTGGTAAAGGTGCAAATTTTCCTTGGAAGAAGAGGAAAGAGAGGGCAGAGCATCCCTCACAGAAAGGGGTCACCGGACTAGGGTGCCTCTCACAGGGAACGATACCTCCCTGCTGGCACTGCCAGCACTGGCTGGTCCTTTTGGGCCCTGCCCTTGCCATTACTGTGGGGTCTCTGTGTTGCAGGTTGGGCCAAGGGAGAACCCATACTATCGGGAAATACTTGATCATCTTTACAAAATTCAAGGAAAAGGTAAGGCCCTGTTCCATCTAGTGCTTGTCTCAGGGGCTGCAGTCCAGCAGAGAAACCTGCTGCATGGCAGAGCAAGGCTGCAGCAGGCACATGCCATGTGTATGTGAGAAGGGGAGCATTGCACAGCTTGTACGGAAACAGTGCTCCAAGGTGCCCTCTGCTTTCACATGCTTTCTCCTGCCTCCAGGGCAAACCCACTGCTCTTTCTCCAGTGGCTGG